ATTCTCTCCCTCGGTACTGTGGCGAAACATACTGAGCTGGAGAAGGAGATGGCTGCACGCCTGTGTGATGTGGACTGCATAGCCACAGTGGGCGACCTGTGGCACCACATTTGCGACCAGGTGACAGCTGCTGCTGGGGAGACCATCGGGCGCGCAAACTATAAGCGGCCTGATTGGTTTGATGAGAATAATGCGACGATTGCCGCATTGGTGTCTGAGAAGAATACAGCATTTGCTGCACATGTCGCAGACCCCAGTGACTTGGGTAAAAGAAGAGAGTTTCGCAAACTTCGACGGCGATTGACCCGAGAGCTCCGTCGCATAAAAATGCATGGTGGACGGAGAGGGCGAAGCAGATGGAATGCTACGCCGAACGCCGCCAACAAGGAATTCTTTGACTCCTTGAAGGCGGTGTATGGACGGAGATTGGAGCCGCTGAGGACGCTGATAGATGGTAGTTCAGGCGCTACCTGCACACAGACTGCAGACATGATGCAGATCTGTGGGAAGAGCTTTAACTGACTCTTGAACAACCGTTCAGAGATTGAGTGGCCTACATTGAACGGCCTCAAGCAGCACGATGTGAAGACGGGTCTGGCGGACACGCCGACACTGGATGAGACGCAGAGAGCACTTGCTCAGCTGCGAAACGGCAAGTGTGCTGGGGCCGACGGGATCCCGCCTGAAGTATTGAAACACGGTGGACCTGCGTTGTTGACTGCGCTGCACCACTTGGTGCAACGCGTATGGATTGAGGAGGAGGTGCCTGCTGAGCTGAAGGATGCCCTTGTGCTACCACTGTACAAGTGCGTAGGTAGCAAGCAATGTCGCACGAATTATCGTGGCATCAGCTTGCTGAGTTGTGGGGGCAAGGTGATTGCCCGAATCTTGCTCAACCGCCTCGTCAGTCAGATTGTGGAACCGAACGTGGCGGAGGAGCAGTGGGGATCCCGTTCGGGTCGCAGCACTATAGATATGGTGTTTGCGGCTCGTCAGTTGCAGGAGAAGTGCAGAGAACGACACCGGCCATTGTACTCGCTTTTTGTTGATTTCACAAAGACATTTGATACGGTGAACCGCGAGGCGTTGTGGCTGGTGTTGGGTAAGTTTGGTTGCCAGCGTAAGTTTGTAAGTTTAATTGAATGTCTGCACAGTGGTATACGAGCGAGGGTGCAGCTGAGTGGAGAGACCTCGGATGACTTTGCAGTTGTCTGGTGTGATGCAAGACTGTGTCTTAGCTGCTGCCCTGTTTAATATGTATCTTCATGCAACGATGTCTTGTGCTTTTGATAACGCTTGTGCTTACGTCGTCCGTGTGGAGCACCGTTTTGATGGTAGTTTGCAGTATATCCGTCGTTTCGGTGCGAGAAATCTAGTCTGTGAGACAACTATCAGTATGTTGCTGTTTGCTGACGACTGTGCGTTGTTTGCACACAGCACGGATGAGTTGCAGCATATGACTAATGCTCTGGCTTCGACAGCGGCCAAAATGGGACTCAACATAAACACAAGCAAAACTGTCTATCTCTTTCAGCTTTCACCGCAGGTGCAATCTCCAATATTGCCGCGAAACAGCATTGGTGCTGAAGAATTGGCAACCATCTCCCGCTTCTGCTACCTTGGGAGTGTGATGTCAACTGATCAGCAGCTATACAGTAAGCTTCGTATCCGCGTGTCAAACTCAGCGGCAGTATTCAGGAAGCTAGAGTACCGAGTGCGGAACAACCATCAGCTTACCATTGGCACGAAGCTGATGGCGTACAAATCCGTGGTACTGTCCGTTCTTCTCTACAGTAGTAAAACGTGGACGATGTACCGGTGGGATGTACGATAACTCGAGCGGTTCCATCATCAGTGTTTGGGGCCCATATTGCTCATCCGCTGGTGCAACATAGTTGCTGACCCGAAAGTGTTGCGACAAAGTGGAATGTATGCAGTGGACTGCATACTTTTGCTGAGACACCTGTGGACGCTCGGTCATGTGAACCGTACGGATTCGACGCGGATACCGAAACAACTATTATATGGTCAGCTGAGTATTGGGAAGTGGCATGCCAAGAAACTAAAATTACGTTACCAGGACATGATCAAAGTGAGCCTTTCACGTCCTAATCTTGATTGCAGGTCAAGGGAATCGAAAGCGGTTGATCGGCGTACATGGCGCGATCTGATCACGAAGGCAGTTGCCGAGGTGCGGGAGAAAGACCTCATACATGCAGAGAAGAAGCGGTAAGTGCGGAAGCGGCAAGCACCGATGGGTTGTACTCCATCGATATCAAACGCATGGTGTTGTAGCACATGCGGTCGCGAGTGCCTTAGTCAGGCAGGCCTAGTGAGCCATGAGCGAGGCCACTCGGGACCACTACCGAAGCGACGACTAGTCCTGCAGAGAACATAGGCAGAACCGGCGCAGCGTTTGTAGGCACGCTGCGTTCGATTTACTAACAGCGTGCTTGCATGCTAAGTCTCTTTATTCCAGGTGGTGGGTTTGCAATTTTGTCCTAATGATTTTCGTTCTCATATAAATGTCCACCTATACTCTCTTCTATAAACTTGCACACGTAGCTTAAGCCAATTGTAGTTAATTTCGATAATATTTTCGTCTTTGTGGCATTTCCGCAATATGTACCTTCTGACCTCGTGAACTTATCTCGGATTCTTTTGTAAACAACTTATTTCATATGCTCATTAATTCAAGATTTAGGCCACCGCTTCCTTATGCATTATTCGATTTATTTTCTTAGTTATCTTTCTCTCAGATGATTGGCTGTTGCTTGATATCCCCGGTGTGGCTGCGCTTAATGTGCATGTTGACAAGGTGCCTACCTGCCTATTACCCACTACCTCGTTCATCTGGCTCCAGGAGTCAGTTGGTCGTTGTTAGAGGGGACGGGGTGCACGGTCCTTGTGGTCGTGCTAGGCTCGAACAGTGGTTCCATGCACTCAGTGTGGAGCGGACTACGGTCCAGCCACCGCCTTGTGTGCGCTTGGTTCCCCAAATACAGCGTGCTTGTGTTTGCTTGTGAAGGAGTGTGGGCCGGCTCCGTTGATGAAACGTGGCTCCCATCCGCATGCTTCCCGGTCTTATTCCTTCGGGTTTCCACTGGTTATGGAGTGTGTGGATGGAGCTGTGGGTGGTGCAGCGCAAGCCACCCATAGTCCCTCTCTATGCGCAGGCATCCTGTGACTGGCCACAGTGACAGGCAAATCCGAAACCGGATGCCGCCAACTGTCTGTCAATCAACTTGGCTTTACTTTCCAAACGCTTCATATGCGGTGACTTAGGATACGATATCTTCGGGGTTATTTGGGGACAAGTTGACCTAATCAACATCGAACCGAAGATGTGAAAAAACGAAGGTCAACTTTTAAAGAATTGCAAATAAAAATGGTCAAAATATGCTTTACGGTAACTATGTTCAGTCTACCTTAATTTACTATTCACATATAGATTTTCAATGTTAACTCGCACACTGACGTTTTGTGTACGATTTCAAATAGACTATCAGACTATGTGAGCTAGTTTATCGCTATTCATCAGTTACCAGTATAATAAAATGGTCTACGGTCGGATTCAGCAATATCGAGATGAGTAAATCATATGACCAGATCTACTCGGTCATAGTAAAAATATGCCTTCCTATGTAAGGTTCACAAAATAGCTTAATTGATCCAACGTGTCATTGTTCCAATGCGGAAACGTATCTTACATGACGAAACGCAGATATACAGATTTCTAGGAAGTTGCAGTCAAACATAACCCAGCAGATATATTTACACAGATCATTTAGGAGCAAACAATTACAGTGTTTAATCTCATTTTAGCATCATGATATGGCAGCCGATTTAGGTTGGCACATCGGTAGCTGCTCAGATAATTTAACAAGCTTAGTAGCACTACCTAAGATGTTACTAGGACTGTGCATTTCTTATTAAAGGTAATTGGTTTTGTAACCGCAAGGTATTGTCTCATCGGCCTGGCCCAATGCATATGATTATGCAAAGTGTACAATATATATATATATGTATATATATATATATATATATATATATATATATATATATATATATATATATATATATATACAGTCGATTCCGGTTAATCGGACCACATCGGGACCAGACCATTTTGGTCCTATTAAGCGGCTGGTCCTATTAACCGAAGTTACCCGATGTAACAAGATGGGACGTGCTATACATAACATAGGAAACTACTATTATGGCCTGTATTGGCGGCATATATTTATAGCAAACACACAAAAAAGAACTGCTTTGATAACGAACTTTGTTCACTGAAAACGAAATTTACAAACAAATTCTTCGTAACGACCTACAAGATATTCAGCATGCTAAGTACAGTTTTATACAAAGGGATTACCGAATTACATTCAGCGTTTGAAGACCGTATCCAGTGTGGTTTGACGCATTCTTTTAACAGACTGCATTCGCACAAAATCACCACAAACATGTAACGCAGTAATAGGACTACCTTCATTTCCTTCCTGCATGAAATAGCGGTGCAATGTTTCAATGCATTTCCTTGCATCCTGTTTTGTGACTGGCATCAACACGTTAGGGTTCTCTTCATCACTTCCATGGTCTTCTGTTGCTGTCGTGTGTTTCGCTGCTATTCGAACAACAATGGCAGCATCGCATTCTTCATTTCCATCATAGAGTTGAAGTTCGCCGTCGATTGACAAAAATTTTTCGGAATTTTCAACTTGTTTCAGCTCCACATTCTCGCTGTCATTTTCATTTACAATCACCATATCCACATCCATCTCCGAGACAATATGCTTAAAGCCACAGTGTGAAAAAACAGTTCCGAATTGTCGCACTGCTCATTTTTCGCCAACTTTCGGCCACGAATGTAACGGCTTGCAAAAGGTTGACCTTTGCACTGATTCCTCCGGCCGTCGAGGATGAGGTCAGCAAGCCTTTCTCAATTGATTCAAGGATGTAATTCACCAAACTTGAACGAGAAAAGGTCTTCAAATTTTTTATGATGCCCATGTCCATTGGCTGTATCAAAGATGTGGTCATGGGAGGCAGAAATTCCATCTGGATATTCTTCAAGAAATCCAAATTTGAATGTGCTGCACAATTGTCGAGAAGTAATAACACTTTTCTCGACTGGCGTTGTAGCTCTGTGTCCCAATCCTTCACCCATTCTTTAAAAAGTGTAGAGCTCATCCATGCTTTTCTGTTCGCACGATACACAACTGGTAAACTGTCCATTCTGAGTCCCTTAAAGCAGCGAGGCTTGGCATATTTTCCTATAACCAGCAACTTCCTCTTGTCTGTTCCGGACATGTTTGAGCAGCACAAGACAGTTACGCGATCCATTGCTTTTTTGCAGCCAAAGAGAGTAACATGTTTGTAAATTAAGGAGCCGTCCGGTGTAGCCCTATAGTACAACCCGGTTTCATCAGCATTATAGATGTCATCTGCTGGAAATTTTTCAAGAAGCTCTGGTAGTTTTGTTGATTTCCACTCTTCAGCTCGAGCGCTATTGGCACTTTCTTTCTCACCATGTGCTTTCTTAAATTTTACAACATGTCTAGATTTCCGTCGAGACAACCAGCCGTCCGTAGCTATAAAATCTTCATGGCCCAGCATTTTAGCGAGTTCTTCTGCTTTGTACTTTAACATTGGGCCACTTACTCGCTCGGCTCGTCCAGTAACGAAGCAAGTTGGCCGAACTTAGAGAACTCCATGCCTCACAACCGCGGGACCTCGTCATGATTACAGAGACATGGTTAAACCCTGAGATAACCGACTGTGAGATCAAGTTACCCGGTATGTCGCTGCTTCGGACCGATAGAACCGGAATGGGTGGCGGTGTGATTCTTTACTATAATACAAGCCTCCGATGTGAAGTTATCGATCACCCGGAAATCCGAGCTCCCGATTCGCTTTGGTGCCGCCTTTGGTTGCGAAACAAGGACACATGTCTACTAGCCGTGGTTTATCGCCCGCCAAACTCAACGTCGGAAATGGACTCCAAACTGTACCACGTTTTTCAGTTTGCTTTGAACAAGTCCTACACCCACATTCTTATCGCTGGAGACTTTAACGTGCACGACATAGAAACGCCGGCAACTGACGGTACGCAGTTTAAAGCCTGTTTGCAAGAACTTATTGCTAGCCACCCTCTTTACAACCACGTAACCTCTCCCACCAGATTTCGACTTCTAACAAGCCGTCGATACTGGATCTTGTGCTAACTAACGAAGAACTCATGGTTGGCGGGATAGTTACAAGCACACCACTGGGTCGTAGTGATCATGTTACTCTACTCTTTGATTATATATGCTATGCCGAGTACCCGGAAAAGGAGGAGGATAAAGTGCACACTGTCACGCACTACAATGTGTTGTCCAAGCTTGTTAAGGATACATCTTGGACTTTCTTATTCGAATGCCCCCCAGATTGGCCTGGGATATGTTTACAAGGACTTTGAGCACACTGGTAGCGCAAGCATCGGAACAGAAGTCCTTCCAACCCAAAAACCAGAGTAAGTCATTTCTGAGGAGCAGAACACGTAAATGTATGTCCCGGAGGGATTTGGCATGGCGAAATCACCAGGGTTGCCCGAATGCCGAAACCTGGACTGCATACGTGACACATCGTAACTTCTGTGTGAAACTGATCCGCGAAGACAAGGTCACGCATCAGCAGAAGTTAATGAAGCGATTCTGCACTAACCACAAACTCCTGTATAGGCACATTAACGGTCTTCGAAAGGTAAAGCGAGGGGTTCCGGCGCTAGTCACAGCTGATGGATACACGCGGTCAGCAATGGAAGCAGCTGATCTCCTACGGCTTCATTACTCTCAAACGTTCCAACAAGTGTCGAGCCCAAACATTCACCTCATTTCTAATACTCCACCATCTGGTTTAGAAAACATCACCTTCACTACGGAGGCTGTGTTGAAGAAGTTGTTATCCTTGCGTATCCACAGTTCTCCCGGAGCTGATAACATCCGACCAAAGGCTCTACAGGCAGTAGCTAGTGATCTAGCAGAACCACTGGCTGTTTTCTATCAGCGATGTCTAGAGGAAAACCTTATTCCACCAGTATGGAAGCAAGGGGTCATCACTCCTATCCATAAAGGAGGTAGCCGCACTGATCCTGCAAACTACCGTCCAATAACATTACTTCCCGTACTATCCAAAGTGATGGAATCAATCGTCGCAGACGCGCTGATGCAATATTTGGAAAGCCACAATTTAATAGCCCCAGAGCAACATGGCTTTCGTCAAAAGCATTCGTGTAATACTAACCTATTAATTGCACGTAATAGCTGGACTGAAGCTGTTGATGATGGAGCTGGAGTCGATGTCATCTACCTGGACTTTTCAAAAGCGTTTGATCGTTTAGACCATCGAGTTCTCCTTCAGAAGCTTCGGAACTACGGCATTGGCGATCCAATCCTGAGTTGGATTAGCAATTTTCTACAAGAACGACGGCTAGTGGTGAGAGTCCGAGAATCATTTTCTCATGCAATCGACGTGACGTGTGGAGTACCACAAGGCTCGGTTCTTGGACCTCGTCTATTCTTGGTGTTCATTAACGATTTGGCGAGATCAATTACTTCCGATTTCTTATTTTTCGCTGATGATATCAAGATATGGCGAAGGATCAGAGGACCGGATGACCATGAACGGCTCCAGCACGACCTTAACACAGTGTCGAACTGGTCAGTTCAAAACGCTCTACCGTTCAACGTAGACAAATGTCGCGTAGTACAATTACGCCATAGACATAACTACACCTACATACTTGGGACAAACGAATTGCAGAATAGCTCCCAGGAACGTGATCTTGGTGTGATCGTACAGAGCGACCTCAACTGTTCAAAACAGGCTGAGGTAGCTGCGAAAAGAGGCAACCAGCACGTCGGCATGCTGCGAAGGGCATTCGGGAGATTTGACCCATCAATCTTCCCAATGATGCTCAATTCCTACGTGCGCCCGCAAGTTGAGTACGCAATCCAAGCTTGGCAACCTTGGTTGAAACGCGACCTAGAAGCGATAGAGGCACCACAACGGAGAGCAACAAAGAACGTGATGGGCCTGCGGTATCACTCTTACCACCGAAGACTGAAGTTGCTGGGAATTTTCAGCGGACGTTATCGAAGGCTGCGCGGCGATCTCATATTAGCGTATCAGATATTGAGTGACCCCAACCACGTATGCCGCCATTTGCTGAAACTTAGCCACAACACGCAGCTCAGGGGTAACTGCTTAAAGTTGAAGGAACAATACAGCCGTCTAGAGTGTCGACGGAATTACTTTTCCCTTCGAGTTTGCAAACCATGGAACGCACTCTCAGACTCAGTAGTATCCTCTCCTACCCTGGATGTTTTCAAAAAACGATTAGATGTTGCTCTCAGCTCCCAACATTTTGTTACCTAAGCTCCTCTGTTGTGGATTACGCCAAGCATATTTTCAACAGGACTAATGTATCAAATGGACCTAAGTGAGCGACCATATTTTATTTTCTCACTCCTTACCTCAACTATCACTGCGCCCCAGTGTCTTTCTGAATGTTTACGCGCGATATTTCTTTTTCATTTCACACTGATGTTAATTATCAAAGTATTCATCTCGGCAGACGTTCGATAGATGACACACACATATTTTAATTGCATCATATTCACCGCTACCATCCTACGGGACGTGTCAAGCACTTGCTTTTATCTCGTGATAAATCATTGTTCATTGTTCATTGTTCAAACCAATCATTAAGGGCCTCATCGACGTCTGGATCCTTGCCTTCACGCTTCCGTCTTTGGGAAGTACCTCGTCGTCCTTCACATTGTGCCCATTCTTCTCGCAGATCTTTCTCTTGTTTTATCAGGCGCGATATTGTAGATTTTGCCAAGCAGGTAATTTCCACCAATCGACGCTGACTAGTGGTTGGTCCCTGTTCCTTGATCTGATCTGGGAAACGAATCTTCTCAGCTAACGTCGAGTCCCGTCGTGGCATTTTCTTAACATGCAACAAGACACGCAAAGTTCATTGAGGTGAACTCGAGTGTGTCTCCCGGGTATTCCTATGGTTGACCTAGCCACCTGCTGTCCTATGATTTGCCGGACCTGTGTGTCCGCGATCACTTGCAGTGCTCGAGAGTAGGCCCGCAATGCGGGCTCAGGGCATTCGGCTCAGTGGACGTGCGGTACATCGATCGAGCGGTTAACGACATGTGAACAAGCATGTGTCTTCGCTCCGCCTACAAGTGTTGGAAACTACAGTCAGTTTCGGGCGGTTCTGAAGCCAATTAGATAGACGTGCCTCAAGGTTGCCACAGTTCAGTTTATCCAAAGGCCAACTCGGATTACCGTAACTGAATGATACGCTTTCTTGCCCGACATATGAACTGTGGGTTTAGTCCAGACATCCAGGCACAGAACTTGATTTTAACACCTCTGTTACCTGCCACCTTCTATCGTCTGGTCCGATTAAGCGGAATTCCGGTCCTAATAAGCGGCTAAAATTAGGCTAGCGTAATAGCATTCGTTTCGGTTCTTCCGAATTTGGCCCGAATAAGCGGCTGGCCCTATTAACCGGTGGTCCTATTAACCGGAATCGACTGTATATATATATATATATATATATATATATATATATATATCATCAACAGCAGTACATCAGCCATTTGAACTGATGCTTCGCTGCCATACAACCACGAGGACCTTTGAAATAAAGAATAAGAAGAGGGAGAGAAGGGGACTTCCCTGAAAACCTTAATGCCCTAAGCAAACATTCAGAGTCAAGGCGCCTACACCTTGCGTAGACAACATTCCGTCACAAACAGCTGGCTATCGTGCAAAGATAAGGCGGCGTCGGCGAGACAGCTTCCTTGCGGCTTTCACTGCCACGCGTCATAATCAGCCATTACCCCGCAGATAACTCAGCACTAAACACACTTTAAAATGACAATCCAATTAGGAGACGGCAGCAGACGCGCCACTGGAGTCGGTTGCGAGCCATGTCCTGTAAAGTCTCGAGCCAAGCACAAGGTAAGTCACTTGGACTCCAACCCGAAAGGCGAGACGGACCAACGGCACCCAGTTTGGTCGTTGGTGACTTCATTTCCAGCTGCCAAGTCAACTTCTGTCCACCTCGAGTCTTGCGCCATCCTACACCTGGTAGACTGAATAAGACCCTCCTAGCCAAGCGGTGACCAGGCATGCGTAGCACGTGCCCGAGCCAACGCAACTTATTCAGTGCTATCTGTTGTTCTAGGGAGCTAGCATGATTATCACCACCTAGTACTCGCCTACGCACATCATCGTTGCGGATACGCTGGTGCCATCCGACACCAACAATGCTTCGCAAACAACGATGATCAAAGACTTGAAGGCGCCTCAGATCTTCAGACCGAAGGGGCCAAGTTTCACTACCATAGAGCAG